GAAATCCCTCTCATATATTGAAGAACGAGCCGATGGAGATAAAACCAGATTTGACTTATAAAGAAAAACCGATAGAGATTCTTCAGCGAGAGGTAAAGCAACTTAGAAGCGAGAAAATTCCATTGGTTAAGGTATTGTGGCGAAATTAGTCAACGGAAGAGGCCACTTAGGAAAGAGAAGATAAAATACGGGTTAAAATCCTGAACTTTTTGGTAAGCAAATTCCGAGTACGAAATTTTATAAGGAATGGAGGATGTAATACCTTGAATGTCACATTACACATTTGCCCAATATGAGTCATGCATGCTATTTACCGTTATTTGCATCAATTTTCCTAATTGCTTTATTTTAAAATGGTACATTCAATTATTGAGAGCTTAAGATCTTTATATAGTGTTAGCCTTTGACTCCTCAACCTAGGTGCCGAATTCTACATTGGGCTATGATAGATAAATTAGGTTAATCTAGATGTTGGAGATTGACTTGTTAAGAAATTGGAATCTTGAAAAGGCCGGAATTAGTATCAATAAAGGTTTTAACTTTCCATTCGGTTGATCAAGGTCACCGTCAACCCTAGATAGGTAATTGACATATTTAGGACACGAGGCATGAAGTGACATGATCACTATGCAATAATATGTGTTTTATGTGATGTTATAAATATTGAGTTGCGAATCGTTGAAATTGGTCGAAAATCGGATGTCAATCGGGTAAGTAATTAAATGAACGATTAATGAGTTGACACTATAATATCTTGGAATCCTATGGCAGGTAAGATGGATTGTAAAGACATTAAAATAAGCAAAGGACACTTGATTTGTACCTGTAAGGATAGAGGTGAAATCAGATTTCTACTACAGGGGACACCTCATGCTTAGCCACCTCCTACTTGTTGATTTGTCTTGGTAATGGTAGATTCCTTCATCCTTAAGCATTAGCAATGTCTATCACTTCATTAAGACTTCANGGAATCCTAGGGCAGGTAAGATGGATTGTAAAGACATCAAAATAAGTTAAGGACACTTGATTTGTACCTGCAATGATAGAGATGAAATTAGATTTCTACTACAAGGGACACCTCAAGCTTGTCGATTTGTCCTTGTAATGGTCAATTCCTTATCGAACAAAGTGACCTTAAATGATTTTGAAATTCCACGTTTCATAATCATAAGACTCATGCGATTTGAACGATCCCACTTATCAAAGTCCTGTTTACAATCAATGGAACTTTTGTCCGTAAGTAAAGCAATTTGTTCAGTCCTTAACGTAATGTCTAAGTCCATGTAGCCAAGAACGATCAGAACATTCTCTTTCCAGTCCTTAAAGTTGGTTCCATTAAACACAAAAAATG